ATTTTCTAACTGGTTCAGGGCATTAATAATAAAAATTATAAAAGAAATAATAATAACAACAACAATAATAATAATAATAATAACAATAATAATAATAATAATAGCAATAATGACCTGACGGTGATGATGCATTACGCCTCCGAGCCCAAACATCATCATCATAATCACCACCATCATCTCCGCCGTCATCGTCATCAAGACCCCAAACGCAATCACCATCATCATCATCACCACCGCCGCCCCCAATCACGTGACCTAAAAAACCCGATCTGGGTCACTCAAATGACCTACAAATCCAACTCGAGCTCTGATTGGTCGACGATCGTGCACCTCAGCGTGTTTGGCCGGGGCGTTATTGTCTCGATTTTAAGGCACAGAGTACCCTGTAATAATAATAATAATAATAATGAAAACAACAATAATATTATCAACAATAATGAATATGTTAGCAGCAACAACAACAGCAGCAACAACAATAATAACAATGATGATGATGATGATGATGAAGAGGAGGAGGAGGAGAAAGCCTATAGCAAAATTTTGTACAACCGCCAACAGAACTACTGCTACCATGATACGTACATGCATAAAAGAACTTGTATCAATAATAATAATAATAATAATAATAATAGTAATAATAATAATAACAATAATTATGCTAATAGTAATAATAACAACATTTATCTGGTCAAGCATGATGAACCGAAGTTAGCCTGCTTTTATTTATTATTATTATTATTGTTAACTACTATTGTTAATTATTATTATTATTCCAATTATTGTTATTCCAATTATTATTATTATTATTATGATTATTATTATTATCATTATTACAATTATTCCAATTATTATTAATATTAATTATTATTATTATTATTTATTATTATTATTACAATTATTATTTTTTATTATTAATATCATTATTAGACTTATATGTGTCTAAATTAATAGACTTATTTTTAAATGCACTCCCTTTCAGTGACGAGCGTTTTAGATTATTAATAATAATAATAAGAACAACAATAATAATAATAATAATAATAATAGGATTTTATAATTATTTCATTATTGAAATTCGGTATTTGGAGTTAGAAAATAAAAGACTGATCTCATTATTATTATCATTATTATCATCCCGCTTTTGAGATTTTATTAAAAAGCGATTTATAAATTTTCATTTAATAATAATAATAATAATAATAATAATAATAATAATAATTCCATTCCTTCAATTTGTCTTCAATTGAAATTGAAGGGACCGAATATTCTTGCCAAAATTTAATTAGCAGTGTGATTTCATCTTCATCATCATATGCCATATATTGGGATACATTATATATTATTATTATCAGTAGTGGTAGTATTACATAAGTGGGCAGAGAAGGGTACAACTTAACGCGAGAGATTCGTTTTTACGCAGCCAACTCTTTTTACAACAATATAGAGTTTATTTTCGTTGTATATATTATAAGGATTGTGTGTGGCTGTGGTTTTGAAATTTGGTTCAAAATGAATATTTCAATTTCAATAGACTTATCTTTATAATTTTAACTTTAAATCCTCTCAATTCTCTGTTCGCGATAATATGTCCGCATTGTTTTAAGGAATTTAGGTTTGTTGACAGACACACCTGGTGCTATACAGCTGTACATTCAAACTCAAACTTAAATTCAACACCTAGCAGTATTATTAATATTTCTCCAAATTTACTGCCAAGCAATAATAATATATTACCGGATAATTCAAGTAACTTGTGGTTGTGGTGAATCTTGCAAAGGTTGAAAAGGACTAAGAATGCATCGGAGATCTTGTAAAATGTATAAATCCCTCAAGTCCGCAACTCATGAGGTTGGAGAAAACGCCAGTGACGACACTGGCCAAGCGCCATTTCAACACACGTCAGCAACTTCAACAACAACAGTTCCGAAACCACTACCGGGATAAAACTGCCCAATGGTCCGAAGCTAACTCATTTTTTCAATCAGAATTAAAATGTCCAGACGATGTCACAGATGTTTACAGTTTTGCTACCAGGTTTCAAAAAATAACCTACAACTATTTTGCTGCCAATTGTGGCGTCATAAAGAAGAAGTCACTACCTGACGGACACACAAATCAAGATATTCGACATTTAAAAACAAAATTGAAAACTTTAAGAAACTGGCTCAAACAAACATCCAACTCAACATGCGCACTGGGCAAACAAATTAAAGCCAAATTAAAAATTAACCACGTGTTAAAAATGACAACAACAACAACAGTTTATCTCAACTAATGAAAAATTTTTGGAAAACATGCAACAACATTTTTCAACTTCAACACCTCAACCTCCTCTCTTCAACACAGAAACAGCCACCAACTTCTTGGAAAACAACTTGAGCGCTGGCTGGCGACCGCACCATGTTTCGTCTCACAAACTGGATTCTAAATTTCTCCACTCCCTGCTCCAGCATTTCGAGGAGACTTGGATCCGCCAACATAGGGCGAAATTACAGTAATTGTTCCTTGAAAGCAAATCAAATGCCTCTGCATGTCCAAATATCATAGCTAGCAATTAAAAGATGCCCAATATTAGGAACCTATTTGCACCAATTGCTGGCAACGTGATTTCGCTAACAGATACGACAAAAAATTCGAAACTAAAGCTCCGTTACTTTTTAAAAACTAGCGACAACAAAGAGATTCGTTGTCTTTATAAATAATCAACAATCGATTTTGTAAAAGTGCTCTTTCAAAATCAGGCTCCTTAAAGTCGTTTCTCAACCAACTGGATATGTTAAGAATCGACTCATACTTAAATTATGTTCTCCAGCTGGATTGTATTGGCTCACTAATTTATAAAATAAAAAAAATTCATAAAACATAATTACATCTTGCGCTGGTCAAAATATTGCTGGAGTCCTATACAAGTTTGTAGTGAAATACTTGGTTTAACAACTGCCAACAAATACTAACCTATTTAAGTTGGGCAAAACAACAAGTTCTCTATGCCCTCTTTGCAGCTCCCGTCAGACAAACAGCAGCGCTAACAAGATATACGGAAAGACATAATAAAATATTGGCAGTGATCACCAGTTGGTTGAAAGTATACGCTCCTGAAAATTGCCTCATATTTGCAGACTTGGAGTCGAATGAGGTCTACCCAATATCGTAGCTGTTCAACACACTGCCACCCGATATAGTCATTTTTCTTGATGATCAAATTGAAATTCTTGAACTAACTGTGTGCCATGAAACCAACCTGGAGTCCTTAAGACAATATAAAAGAAATAAATATTAAATAGACAGGTTACGCTGCTATTTATATAACAATTACAAACATTGCTCAATTATTATTTATTTTATTCTAACATATTTGATTTTTCATGTTTTATCATTTCTCTTCCTCACTTTTTCTATTTATTTTCTCACTTATTTGTTTAATTTTGTTTCACTGCCTTGCCTGTTGTTACAGTTTCTGCGTCTGTCAGATCCTGATTTTTAAAAAATAATAATAATAATAAAAAAAAATTATTAATACGTTTGAGATATCTCTAGTTGGTTTTTATAACAATTTCAGTCTGTTTTTATCTAAAGTTCAATGGCCAATTTCTTTTAATGATGAATTGATAAACTCTGTTATAAGGTCATCGTACTGAGTTTATTGTGACAGAGACAACCGATAATGCTAATTTAAATATGTTGTACCGCCCTGCACCTGCCTACCGCCACTCCTATCGTCACCCTATCACCTTATTGAATTGTTTTAACTCTTTTGTTAGCATTTTCAATGTATGTTTTTGTGGGAGAATAAAAGGAGGTTCCCAATATTATTATTGTTATTATTATTAATTAATTAATAATAATAATAATAATTATTATTATTATTGTTGTTATTCTTATTATTAATATTACTAATGCAGTCAGTCTTACATGGTATGTATTAAGTTTGTCCTGATAAACGAAAATCTACTATTAATCTATGAAGGTGGGTTGAATGAATGAATAATGAATGAATGAATGTATGAGTGAATGAACGAATGAATGAATGAGTGAGTGAGTGAGTGAGTGAGTGAGTGAGTGAGTGAGTGAGTGAGTGAGTGAGTGAGTGAGTGAGTGAGTGAGTGAGTGAGTGAGTGAGTGAGTGAGTGAGTGAGTGAGTGAGTGAGGGAACGAACGAACGAACGAACGAACGAACGAATGAATAAATAAATAAATCAGGAATGAAGAAATATTTTTTTTAGGACAGCCAAACCAACTGAACATATGTTCGGAGTCCTTACTGAGAAAAAATATTTGGCCCTGGATTGGTAATAATAACTTTGTAATAAATTATGTTAATTTAATTATAATTTATTTGTTGTAACATGATAATTACAATACATTATGTTAATTACCAGCCCCACGACTGACCAGGCATTCTCCGTGTCCTATCATTGGCGGGTTCGACCTGACCATATACTACAATGGCGTTAATGGGGTAGCCGGCTAATTATAATATGCAAATTAGTTGTTAATTTATTCATGTGCATAATGTTGATCTATGCTGATGATGATGATGGCAATGATGATGATGATTATTAATATGATGTGAATTTTGAATTTGTTGATGGTTTTTATGATAAAGTCAGGAATGAATGAATGAATGAATGAATGAATGAATGAATGAATGAATGAATGAATGAATGAATGAATGAATAAATGAATGAATGAATGAATGAATGAATGAATGAATGAATGAATGAATGAATGAATGAATGAATGAATGAATGAATGAATGAATGGATGAAAAAGTAAGTGGATGAATGGATCATTGATTGACAGAATGGAATGGACGAATGTATAAACTAAAAGTTGAATATATATATATATATATATATATATATATATATATATATATATGATGATTGAATGAGCAATTGAATAATTATTGAAGTTGTGAACGTAAGGTAGGTGTTAAAATGGATAAATTATATTAATTTTATGTTAATGTACTTACATGAATATTTATAAATTCTATTTTTAGATGTGTCGAAACCACCCCCTCCCGTCTCGCCTCGAGTCAGAGTGCATCTACGGGGACGGAATGACCTTCACGTTCGTCGAACAGATTTGTAATCCTTTTCAGAATAAGAAAAAAGGTTATTCATTCATTCATTCGTTCGTTCGTTCGTTCGTTCATTCATTCATTCGTTCGTTCGTTCGTTCATTCATTCCTTCATTCATTCATTTATCGTCAATGACAATTCGTTACCATTGATTGTTTTAAATTATTTTGGTTACGTGCAAGTGAAAATTTTCTAAATTTACGTATTTTTTTAATTAACATAATTTATTCATAAAACAGTATTTGTTCAAATTAACATAATTTATTCATGATACCATCCTATAATCTATAATAGACAAATAACAATTTCTTCATATGTTGCAATAACTTCATCGCATAATCATAAAACTTACTTAGAATTTAACACACACTGTCTACAACATAATTTATCTACCTAATTAACATAATTTATTCATAGAATGCTAATTTTTTAGTGGTGGAGTTACGCTGTTGGGCCAATTGGACTGACTCCGCCCACTCGTTCATCGTGGCCGGGGAAGATGGGCTCCTACCTAGATATATTTTTGTAATTATTATGCTAATTATTCATTCGTTTTGTCATTCATTCATTCATTTATTCATTCATTTATTCGTGCGTTCTTTCGTTCTTTTGTACATCCGTTCGTACATTTACAAATCATTAATATTGAAACGAAAACGGACTGCTACTTGTGCTACTAAGAAATATTTCTGAGATTATTCATTCATTCATTCATCCAATCACTCACTCATTCATTCACTCACTCATTCATTCATCCATCCATCAATCCATCAATCCATCCATTCATTCACTCACTCAGAGATACAGAGAAACATCGGTGAAGGAGCTAGAAATGTATCTCTACTTCAATCCAATTATTGTCGATATACTAGATGGGAGAGTTAATAACTTCGCTAAAATTATCAATACCAGAAGCGGTCAGTTGGTGGCCATTGTCGTCGCCATAATCGTCACCACCATAATCATCGTCATCATCATCATCATCATCGTCGTCACGGTCGTTATCATCATCATCATCCTCATCATCATCATCCTCATCATCATTTTCGTTGTGATGATTATCGGTGCATTTTTTAACATCGTGTTGACGTTTAATTTATTTGACGGGTGACAGAGAGAGAGAGAGAGAGAGAAAGAGAGAGAGAGAGAGAAAGAAAGAGAGAGGTAGAAAGAGAGAGAGGGAGATTGAAAATAATAAAATAATTAAAATTATGATAATAATTATCCTTGCCAGAAAGCGGAGTATTAATGAATGAAATCGTTGAAATGTAGTAGTTTGCTGGGCGAGAGAGAGAGAGAGAAAGAGAGAGAGAAAGAGAGAAGGAAAAAGAGAAGGAAAGAGAGAAAGAGATAGAGAGAGAGAAAAAAAGAGAAAATAACAGAATAATTAAAAAATCATAATTATAATCATAATTACCTTCCCCATAATTATAGAGAGTGGAGTATGTTTCGACAAATCGTTGAAATGCAGTAGCTGGCTGGGCGACAAAGAGCTAGACACATGTACGATGGCTTCAAAATCGCACCTCACCAAGCTCTGTACTAAAACGTGTGGCTCGTGCCGTAAGGACATTTTTTTATAAAATTTATTATGAATTATAATTATTAAATAATAATTATGAAATATTAATTATGAATTATTATTATTTGTATTATTTGTATATTGTATTATATGGAATGGTATTATTAAATGGTGGGGTGTATGATTATGTATAAGTATGATAATACTACTACTTAATAATAACTCACTCATTTGCTCACTCACTCCCTCACTCCCTCCCTCACTCCCTCACTCACTCATTTGCTCACTCACTCATTTGCTCACTCACTCATTTGCTCACTCACTCACTCACTCACTCTTTCACTCATTCCTTTCCGGATTCACTCCTTCACTCCATCAATCCGTCCCTTCACTTATTTTCATTCGCCGTAAGTAGATCTGCTTCCAACGGCTGTAAACGAATGTATATTTCTACTGGAGTCAACGAACAAGTGGAAGCATTTTGACCCCGACGGCTGGTCTGCCGAGGTCACCCTGATCAATGGCAGCTTGTCCGTTCCCAGATTGGGGAGGTTCACGTGCAAAAGTAAACACTGGGAGAAGAATTATTACAAAGTCGTTTCGCATTACGATAACGGATGGTTTGTTGTCTGTGTGCGTGTGTGTGTGTGTGTGTGTGTGTGTGTGTGTGTGTGTGTGTGTGTGTGTGTACATCTGTGTGTGTGATCGTCGTTGTATTTGTGTGTTTATGTGGGTATGTGTGTGCGCGTGCGTGTCTGTGTACATCTGTGTGTGTATGCGTGTGTGTGCACATCTGTGTATGTGTGTGTGTGCGTGTGTGTGGTCGTCATCATCGTTGTATATTTGTGTGTTTATGTGTATGTGTGTATGTATTCGTGCTGGTTTTCATCGTCAACAAAATTAACATAATTATCACTATTTCATCATCACATTATCTTTCCATCTTTGTCATCATCATCATCATCATCATCGCCGTCATCATCATGGTCATCATCATCATCATCACCTTTGACCCTTCCTTCCGTAAGGCGTTACTAAAAAATTCATTAATTTATTATTGAATAGTGAAAGCGTCGCTGGTTCTCCTGATGATGATGATGATGATGATGATGATGATGATGATGATGATGATGAGATGATGATGATGATATTGTTATTATTTTTATTATTATTCATAATAATAATAATAATAATTTGCTGTGTAAAAGAACTTCCTTCTATAATTTTTCTTTAGCGGTGTTTAATCATTACAAGTCGCTGAATATTTTATTAAAGTTCATTCTTCGCTTTGTCTATTACGTCTGTCTGTCTGTCTGTCTTTCTGTCTGTCTGTCTGTCTGCCTGTCTGTCTGCCTGTTTGTCTGCCTGTCTGCCTCTCTTTCTCTCTCTCTCTTTCTCCAACTTTCACTCTAAATCAATCTTTCAATTTTTCTTTTTATATGTATACAAACGATTTCATCTCTCCATAGATTTCTCTCCTAACATTTGTTCTCTTGTTATCGTTGTAAGTTTTTCCTACACCGACTCTCCTAATTTGTCTGCCTCATTCGCTCTGTCTGTCTGTATCTTTCTGTCTGTCTGTTTGCCTGTCCGTCTGTCTATTTCTCTGTCTGATTGCCTATCTATCTGTCTGTTTCTCTGTCTGATTGCCTGCCTGTCTGTATCTTTCTGTCTGTCTGATTGCTTGTCCGTCTGTCTTTATGATTCATTCTGCCTCTTTCTCAATTATCCCTTCTTGCTCTCAGAATATCTCCCTTTTTCGGACATACCGACATGCATGAATACATTTTATTTGTAAAAAGCGCTATACAAATGATATTATTACTTTTAATAATAATAATGATAATAATAATAATATTTATGATAATAATAATCATAATATTAGTATTTATGATAATAATGATATTTTCTATTTTTCAAAATTTTAAAAA